TCCCTACATCTGCATAAAAATAATATTATTTCAAAACTTCACTATCAAGGTCTGTTGAGTTATTGCTCTTACGTTATTGGACAGACGTTCGGAGAAGGGGAAACAGGAGGAAAACAACCAACCTCCCCCACAACCTCTAAAATCAAAACAACAAAAAAAATCCATGCCTGTGTTCAGAAATAGAGACGTGAGCATATTTCTTGCTACCCTGACCTAGGATGGATGAAGAACTGTTAGTCTACAAATCTTACAATGGGGAAGAAAGACCTCACTTCTCACAGCTTGTATATGGAGATGCTAAATTTGTTGTTTTTGAAATTGTTGCAGTTTGTATCTAATTCTAGAACTTCAAGAAGTCTAGAATTTCATACCCCTTTCTGCATAAAGCTACTTTTGCCTAGCACAGTCTGCAGGCTTAAGCGCTTGGACCTTTAGTCTCTCACAAAGCAAGCAGCTAACACAGCACGATCTCTTCTGTACATGTCAATAATACTCCTTCATTAAGGAAACATATACGGTTTAGTTATTTAAATCAACTGTATGCATATATACAATGAATATGCATATACCACAAAAACACACAGAACAATCAAAAAAGTTCATGCAAGGGTACTGCAAGAAAATAATATATGACTAGTACTACAGCATATGCTTAGTATTCAGGAGAAAAAGCTATTAATCCTCAAAAAACAGATGCAAACCCAAACCATTTTATCGTATGTTAATTTAATGAAAAATTTAATTTTATTTCAGCTGGGTTGCAAGTATTATTGAAAACAAAAAAGACCCACAACATTTTAATACTGCCTCTAAACTAGAATCCTCTGAGTCACCTGGCAATCATATTACTTTTGCTTAACTATGCTTTGAAAGTTAAGGAAAGACTTCATCTAAGACATACAGGCTATTTTTCTTGAATAGGCAGTATTAAAACTGAAAACAGCAAAGTGAGGAAAAAACCTGAATTTTAAACATGCAAAGACACACACCATAGCTGAATGATATGCCTTAAAGGAAAACAAAGGGATACCTACTTTCTGCTGCTAGAAGTCCTAGTAGGAAGGCAGCATTTGGACAAACAACAAACAGTAGGAAGATTTCAGAACAAGCAATTTATAAAGCTGCAACCTAGCACACTAGTTTAGCCACAAAATAGTATGAACAATCAAACTGACAAGACATTCCCCCCTGCCTTTTTTTTCAAATGTGGTTTCTGTATGTGAACCAAATGGGACTTGTGGAGTGGGATGGGAGAAAAATAAATATTTGGCATTGGGAAATAGCACATTTACATTGTTAAGCATCTGTAAAACCAGATTTTTTTCCAACACTGGCTACACTACCTTAAACTAATGGACAAAAATGATTTTGAGTATCTTAACAGGGGAATGGAAAACTATTTTAAGATACCATAAATGAAGCATAACATCATACTAAGTGTTTAATTCACTTACATTTACCGATTAGAGTTAAGCAACATTATATTGAAATTAAATTATTTTACAGAAGTTTCAGCGATTAAATTATGGGAACCACTAAAAAAAAAAAACAATCACTTTACTACTGATTTTAATTAACCATGATTTTATATATCGATACTTAAAAATTTTTGTACCTAAACATATCAGAGCAACGTTAAACAGCTGAAAGAACATAAAGATAAAAAATAATAATGGAACACTGGAAACAGTCAAGCTCATATCTACAAATTGATCTAAAATTTTTCTAGTAATCCAGTAATTAAAAGCTGTAAAGGAAGTTAAAGAACATAAAGTTTCAGTGAGTGGACAGCATCACATTTTTGTTAGCATCTATGATTTTGTTCCCTTTTCAGAAGTTTCTTAGGTAAACATAAGCAAATAGGGAGTCAGTCATATGTGTAAGATCAGATAAGGTATTAACAACAGTAAATATCGGTGAATGTAATTTATTGTGTTTTTCCAAATGATGATGCTTAAAAAAAGGTTAACACAAGATCCTTAGCAAATATTTGCAAAATCAGTGGTAACTTTTACATAATAGTATTTATTATTCTTTCTTATGTTGATGAGATTGATAGCTTTTAAGACGTGGGCTTATCTTGTCCATATTTCATGGAATCTAAATTAGTTAAGTTAGTTCCATGGATGTTTGCAATTGTGGAGCTTACAACTTAGACATACGCTTGCCATTTGATCCCACTAAGAAAGCCTATTAGATTTAGTTTTATTTTAAATTACTTTCAAATTTGAAAACCAAGAACTCATACTGTTACTGTCCTCATTTCATATGAGGAAATAGACTCTAAAAAACCAAAAAAGTATGAACTTTTCAACTTATATACAGCAATCCTGAGATAAACATGTCAAAATGCATTTACAAAGATGCCATATGAAATGCGTACCTCAAAAGTCGAAGAAACAAGCCAGAAACTGTAATGTAGACTTAAATTTGTGCTTTCTATGCAGTAAAAAAGTCATCATGTTACATATTTTCCACAGAGCTCAGAAAGCAGATAAATATTCAGGAAATACTGCAACAGTGCTATTTGGTAGCCTAGGCTAAATATTTACATTTGATCAGTCAGTCTTGCAGATAATGTGCTGCTCTACTTTCTCTGTGGTTAAACTGAAACACAGCATTACAAAATGCCTTACAAGAATCTCTAGGGTTTGAAGTAAAACCCTATTAAGCTACTCTGAAATGGTTAGCCACATTTCAAAACAGAAGTACTACTAACCAAACAATTTAAACATATGCTATAGAGGAAAGTCCTTCGAACTAAAAGGTAAGATTTGTTTTAGTCTAAAAATCAAGTATGTAATGTTCCAAAGATGATGGACTACCCACAGACTTCACTCTTACAGTGACTCAGTTCAGAAAATGAAGCTACAAAAAGGTTTTTTGGAAATGTAAAGTTAAAATGAAACTCTTCATTTTATGGTCTTTTCCAACTGCTGGCCTAAAAACCTAAACATCCTGAACTGACTTAAAACTCCAAAATAAAACTAAATGATTAATTCAGCTTCCCAAGTCAACAGCTCAAACAATTCCACAGCCTTTTCTTGGCCTGCCACAGAGAGGGTGATGCCCATTCTTCACCCTGAGGCGCTTACCAAGACACTTCAAAATTATACACCTCTGCTCTTCTGTCATATGATGAACACTCACCATATGTCCTGCACTGATCTTATGTGCAATGAAGTGATAGGACGACTTGGGGCCGGGGGGGTGAGAGGTGGGGGAAAAAAAGGGAAGGACAGCAGAGAGCAAACTGATTGATGAATTTGTCATCTGGCGCCTGATTCACTTTGCAGTCCACTTTTACTCTCTACTGGGCCAATTTTTCTCATGTGCCAGATCCAGCCTTTAGGGCTGTTAATTGATTACTTCTGATGTAAATTTACTTCATCACATTAAAAAAGGTCTAAAATATTCATTAATTTGGAAAACTGACATTTTACAGTGTCTTGAAGACAGGTGACATAGCGGTCAAAAAAGTTAAACTTTTACCAAAACAATTTGCAAGACACCTGTCATTTGAGCTGTTTATTGGCTTTACAAAAGAAGCTACTGAACACAAAATAGCATTCAGCAGTAAAGTAGTATTTTAGTTTAATAAATATTTACTGCATTTTTCAAAAATCTTTAAAGCCTTTGTCATACACTCTCAAAATCCATCAAGATTTACTTCTGCTGTTACCTACAAAACAATATAAATTAATAACAGCTAGGTAGCTAGCAGGATTAAGAAAGGCCTTCAGAGGACAACTGCTGATGAAAGAGAAAATAGATCACCCAGAACATGCACATGATAATCACTACCTGGATGAACCAAGAATTATCAACATCCTGTAACGAAGAAAGAAAGGAAGATGTGTGCAGAAAACTACCTGGCTGATTTTAAATGAAATGTGTCTATGTTCATTCCCATCAAATTTAGTTACGTAATTTACTTGTCCCTGCTGTTGGAAAGCTCTCTAACCATGAGGATAGCATATCCTTTGTAATCCTGCATGTGAGAAAGTGGTCTGACTTGCTACCTATAGCGCCTTCATACTGCAGGTCATTATTCTGACAGCATAGAAAGAGGCTCAAAATGTCCAGCAATCCCAGGTTCAATGAACTCTGATGCAGAATATCCACAGGCTAATCTGCAAAAATGACAGAACTGAAATTTTGTCTTTCTGTGTGTAGAAAGACCTGGAGGAGGAGAGGGTATAAGATTTGCATAATCTGGTAAGTGTCTGCCTTTCTGGCTGTTTATCTCAGTAGGACTTCCACATTTGCCCATTGCTGACAAACCATCTAATTTCAATAGTAAGCTTCTCAAATCACGAGATTTACAGGAGGATTAAATAGGTAGCAACACTTATTAAAGTGCTCTTCACTAGAGTTTATTATCTGAACTAGTACTATAAGCTGTTAGGTGAGGAACTTAAATTTCTTTAGAACAGCCAAGTTTCCACTGCAATTTGAGAGTTTTATATCTAATTCTTATAAGCTAGTCCTTCAGTTTAGAATCATAAGAGCCTAATCTTTATTAGCCAGAAATATGTGAAAATAAGTGGTGCATTTCTGAAGAAGAAATGAAATAAATTTCTCTACTAGCTATTTCATAAGGTGAATGTTGCAGTATCTTTTCTGGAAAGCCTAGGTATGTTTATCCTCAGATATTAAGCATTTTCTCAGTTAATTTAATCAATTAGGGAAGCATGAAAACTACTTGCTGAATATGGTTTCTTGATCACTGTGATCTCCCATCAATGAGACTGACAACGTTATCTCAGAGAATATAAAGCTTTCCTGAGAAAATGAAGCTATTGTTTCAATTTCTGCAGAAGCTAACACAAGATAATGATGGCTCTAGTTTAGAAGTCGTGTAGAATGTATGGCAAGTGTACTGGATTCATGTATTCTGAGGACAAAAAACAGAAAACTTGTACCTTCAGTGCATACTGAGATCTGCAATTACATCACCCAATGAGGAAGAGACATGTCCTGTTGATGTGAACTGAAACTGAAAAGCGGAACTGCAGTTTTTAGATTAGCAAAGTTGTGACTGCCAATCATGTCAGTGGCCTATTTATTTTACTGAACTGGAGGAAGCAGCTGGAAATAAAAATTAAGGCGCTGCAAGTAATCCTGGGTGAGGTCAAATCAATTTATCCTTTTTAAAAAGTATACAGAGGCTCCCTTAAGGAATCAAAGCTGGCTGCCTGAAGATAAGCCATGAAACTGTAATTACCCATTTGCAATAAATGATCCGAGATTCCCATTCACTTCAATGGAAGTTATTACCAGTAAGCATCTCTAAGCACTAAGCAGTGTTTGCATTTATGTACTCAAATGTGAATTCCAAGAAGTGAAATTTAAGAATTTCAACCAAAAAAAGCTTGAAAAAAATTGAAAACTACCAAATTCTTATATGACTCACTCGTATGAAAGAATAGAAAAGGGATACTTAGCATTTACAGTCAGTAATTTTCTCATTTATAAAAATATTAGGAAGGAGAACTCATTATCACCCAGCAGATCATGTATATAATTAAGTTCCTGAAACATTTTCTAGCAGAATAAGCTTTAAGGTTTTATGCTTACAACTCAAATATTCTGCCTCTACTATTGCTTAAGGAAGGAAAAAAAAGAAAAAAAAAAAAGATTTTTTTAAAAGTTTATTTAACTTGGTCCTAAACTCTGCTATTGGAACAGACAGCCCAACCCAGACTTCTGAGCTGCAAATTTTGTGAGTTCAGATGAGGTACGTATGCCAAAATTAAGATAAATAACTATGACAGGGCTGTGTTAGTACAGGGACTGTCAGATGATCTAAATTCCTGAACATGGGCTGAAGACAAAAGGACTGCTACAGTCAAAATAACTGCATTGCTTAAGACCCAGCTTCATGTCCACAGTGCAGCAAAGGTATTATTTTCCCCTTTGAACTATTCTCGGATGTCCCTGAAGTATGTGTATTATATGTCTTAGCTCTTGAAGATTTTGGGATGTGGCTCATAGTATTAGAAATACTGTCTATCCTGCTTTAAAGATAAGACCTCTTAATCATACTGTTCTCTAAAACAGGAGGTCAAGAATCTCTGGTATACGAAGTTTAAAAAAAAATTATAAATAACTCTTACTGAGGTATGAGAACCTTACTCCCGCCTAAGAATTCAGGCCCCTATCCCAATATGCTTCCACATTCAAGCGACACAAAGAGAAATATGAGGTTATGGTAGTATTTGTAATTAAATGCACACACATCATATAAAAATCCAGCTAGAATTTCTGTAGAAACTTACAACTCTGCAGAAACTTTCTCTTAATTCTCTTCAGTTACTAATAGCATTATGACTAAAGAGCATTTACACTTTCATATTTAAAGGTTAATTTAATATACTGCTTTACAAATCTGTGAGAAATTAGTAAATACTTGGTACCCTAGACAGCATAAATTTCAGACAAGTTTACTGCAGTAAATATACTTTCTCTTAAAATACCTGAGGAGGTAGGGTCTTCAGAGAAGTCTGGCAGCTCTTCAGGGGGATCACCATAGAAGGAGTTGAATTTGTGGCTTGACACAGCTGCTAGCACTGCCCCCTGAACAAAAATATCACAAAGTCTAAATTACACAAAGGAGGTTAAGGAATCATTTCCAGACACTCTGGATCACTCAACCTCCCATACTCTCTCCCCTGTGTTGACCTTTTCTGGGTGAAGGTAGATAAAAATTTCATACTCTCCAGCCCTGCTTCGCTGCTATGAGTGAAATATCTAACAGAAGGGGTGGTCATACACTGCTCTACTGGACAGTCACTTTCTTCTTTGGAAGTGGACAATTTTATGAGAAAGAATTTTAAAATCCTTTTAAAGAAGCAGTAACTCAGAACTCTCTATGTTCAATGATATAAAAGAAGGAATACTTTTTCCTTATGGAAAGACAAATTTACCATTCCAAATTTACCAGATCAGTTTCTAATAGCGCTAAATAACCAAATCGAAATTCTTGTACAATACAATAATTTTGTTCAGATTATATCTTAATTTATAAAAATCAACTCAAATTTGCAATTTGTAAGTTAAAGTAATTACAAGTTAGTTTACTGAGGCAGGAGCCAATCCATGCCAGTAAGTACAGGTCTATGCAATGGATAGAATTTATATCAGCAAGTAATATGATACTTTAACTATAACATCCACTGGTTTTTGAAACTTTTTAGATCAAGAGCTTTATATACATGTCCTGGATACCATTCATGCTGAAGGGACATAAGGAGGAGAACTACTTGGGTTCTGGAAAACAGAAAAAAATCTGGCAAAGGTCCTTAAAATCTCCACAAACCCTCGAGCATCTACACAAAATCCACTTCAGGGCAGTCTCAGATAAAAAACAGACTTCCAAAAAATGAAAAAAGATTTTTTTTTCCCCCCCTAAATAGACACCTTCTATAATCAAGTCTTTTGGAATAATAAAATTCTTCCAAATTTATTTATCAATATTATATATGGGATGGGAGAGAGGGGAAAATCTTTTTAGAATGTGTTGCTGAGCTCTGTGATTGGCAGGACATTTCTGTTAGAAACAACAGGCATTTTGCAGGTTTCCATTCCAAGTCCATTCCAACCACCAGGTAGCTTTTGCAGAAATTTTAAATAACCTAAAAATAAGAGAGGGGTCATGAACAAAATATAAAGCTTATTGTACAGAAAAGCTTTAAGTCTGTCCGTTTACAGGAAAACTCAACATATTTTACAAACAGTTTCAACTCTAAACATTAAACAGCGTTTAATGCAACTCTATGGAGTTAATGTCCATTCGCATTATGACTTCACACCTGTATCAGCATTAATCAAAAACCTTTAATTTTGTGTGGACTTCTGAATTTCTATTCAAGCACAACATGTGATAGAAGGAAGATATAAGGCACAGACAAAATTATGAAGAGGCCAATGGTTCTAGGTAGGAAGTCTAGGAAGTCTTGGAAAAAAAAAAAAAAAAGCCATGAACTAAATTTTACACAGTTCAACATTTTCCAGACTCAAATATATTTCTTCATGTGCTAAAAAAATCCACCAGAAGTAAAAAAGTATTGCCCTCTTTTGGTAGGGATGAAGGAAAACACTTTGGAGATGGTGGTAAAACATCGGAGTGGCAGGAGGTGGGATGGAAATTCTAGCCATCTCCCTAATCGAGTCTAGGTTGCGTTGCAGCATTTTAAGTGAGATGAAATTAGCCTGTCTGTATGAAACTTCTGAAAGATTCAGTTTTTTGCTTTACCATTAAAATCTCAATTCAGATTCTGGATGTGCCTACTACCTTCTTTGCTTTATAGAGGAGGCAGCAATTCCTTGTCTCATCACTAGGAAATATACACTGCTTCAGATAAAATAATTAAGTGTGAGGTATAAATTTCCATAACACAAAGTTAACAAAATAAGTGCTTCTCTTTTCCTCTTATCCAGGCCAAGTAGATTAGCAAGTATAAAGATGTACTCTTTAAAGCAAAAAAAAATATGTTGCAAGTCAGGAAGTTATCAGTATGCGATACTGACAGTATTAGAATATTTGCTAACTATTATATCTCTATGTGAACTGCCAGAATAAGTATTCTGTGGGAAATTACAAAGCTAGAAAAATTATTTGCTCTGACCTGTATTTCCTCGTTCAATTAAATTATGATTTAACCACTCATTTTTTAATATCTTACAGGTATGGCAGTAGGCAAAATAGACAGGAAAAAGTTTTAGAAGACATTCTGCTTTCTGCTTTGGAAAAAGTGGTAGAAAACAAATAGCAGAAGTTATGCTGAATATATGAAAAACTCTCAAGACATTAAAAGTAGAGGCTTCGGCAGGAATAAATCTGGGAAGATCTGAAGCTGTGTCTAGAGCAGGAAAACAGGTCATACTTTAAAATATTCTAGCTAACATTTTAATGAAAGCACTATCTGGACATACAAACCCTAAGAAGGGGTCTTATTTATCATGAATTGCAGCAGTTGTCCAATCCTAATCATCACATTTTTTACAGCTACAGAAAACTTTTACAAAGCAGTAACTCAAAATACATCTGATACTGTATTTTATTACACTGTAAAAAAAAAAAAAAAGATAAATTGTAATTCTGTATGGTTCTGTTAAAATTATCTCAATCTTTCAGTGAATTTAAAAGTGCTTCAGTTAACCTTTCCAAGAGGGGAATATCTTACCATTTTGAAGGGGAATCATGTCATTTTTGGCTAAAATATTAACATGATATTCCATAAGGAGAAATGGCCTTGTTAATTGTTAAACAGGAAGGGGATAAATTGAAGAATACATCTTTGCTCCATCTGAAGAAAAGTAGTTAGTAGTATTGTGTTCTTTTTTTCCTCTTTTTTATCATAAACTTAAGGTCATCTGAAGCCACTGTAGTATTCTCCTCCTTTCCCAATAACTAGTACTACTTAGTATCACTGAGTTAATTTAAAATTCAGATCTCATATCAAAGTCTGGGTTGATATCAGACAATTTGCACTCAAATTTAGTTTGAAAACTGCAAACTGAAAATAGAAGGGACAAATCTTCAACAGGATATCACTGTGATAAACTGTCAAGATCTGTTTCAATTTCATTATTTTATCACTGACATTAAATCCTACATTTTTCTTAGCGTTTTTAAAATTAATAAAAATACCACACAAAATTCAAGACATGTAATCCCATTGCTTAAAGACCACATTCATTTTACCTTTAGTTTTCGTCTTGCATTGAATTTTCTCAATTGCTCTACTGTTTCTGGAAGATGAATCTTGTATGCATAGCGATCTCTCTCCTTAAAAACACAAAAACAAGCCAAACCAAAAAAAAAAAACATTAAATGCCAGCTCTTAATATTCTCTCAACAGTAAGAAACTGGACAAGAAATGCACTAGGTATTACTGCAAGAAGAATTGGGACTTGGTGCAACTTAAGGAAAATTTAAAAAACTGATAGGACTTAAAATATTTTGATTGCAGAATGTGAGAAAGATGCAGTTTGCTTGTATTTTGTGTAGCTAAAGTTAGTATCGATTGATGGAAAACTACATATCAATGCCGATTACAAAGATTTCTTAAACACTTTGAATTACCTATTCCCTCATCATACATGAACAGCATAGTTTACAGGGACTTCATTTCTTCTAAATGATAGAAACAGCTTCATAAACAGCTGAAGTTAGCTAATAATCCTAAACTGCAGCCCAGAGAGATTTTAAATCTGAACCTTGCTGGCTTTTTTTTGTTTCCCAGTTTGTAATACAAACCTAGCCTTTTTTTTTTACTATTATGTTGTAAGTTACTCTGTGGTTCACATTGAACTCTGAAGCTGGCAAGCACAAAGTAGTACTACCTTTTGGGTACACAAATCCCAGAAAAGCAACATGTGCAAGTACAGTCTTAGGAGGTTCCTGAAAGTTGAGGTAAGTTGGGGAGTTGCGGTACGTGTCTTACAGGGCAGCAAGTGTCAGCTCAATGGCTGGTGATACCAGCCAGGTGCTAGGTTACATGAAGAAATCTCCGTTGCAGATGCAGACCAGAATTCTGCTAGCAAACAGCAGGCAGTGGGGAGAGAACTTAACAGCAGTTAAGTTAAGTAAAGTAAGTTAAGTTAAGCAGTTAAGTTTCTTCTTTCTTCCCCTGCCCCAGCTCATATCAGAAGCTACATACAGTTATTAGATTACTGCAAATGTTCGCCACGTGGCTCTCCTGAATCTAAGTGAAATCACTGACAGAAGTAATTCGGTCACTGTACGGAGCTAAAAACGTCTCTCTCTCATGATGTAAATAACTACTATCTATAAATGGTTTAAAAGAAAATTCTGAGTCAACAGGGAAAGCAGAGATTATATTAGGCAAAAATATGAGAAGATTGACAGAGTACTTACAGCTACTAAAAGGCTGAGCTTAGCAATAAAATTCTCTTCTTCCTTGCTTGCCTTTCAATAAGGGAAAGCTCAAAAAGAAATCTTAGACATCCAAAGTCACTATGTAGGCAGAATTTGCGTATTTACATTAAAGAATTATCTTTTCTAAAAAGCTTAACCAGCTTAGGTGCTCGAGACAACATAAATGGCAAAGTTGTCTACCTAAACAAAACCCCTTGCTCTGGCATTGAACTGTAGGTAAGCTCACAAAGTCTGTATGAGAAATAGTCAAATTACAAGCGGATAAACACAGTTCAACTCCGTTTACCAGAAGCTCTGTCACTGGGGTATGATCATGTGGGATTCACAAACACGGTGCCCATTCCTATGTCCTCTGAAGTGTTTGATTCGGTAGGCATGCCCCAGGTGAACAGACAGAACCTCAGCTCCTTTCAGGTAGAAAAGTTTGAATGGCAATTCCCAGTTTTCAGGAGAGTGCCTTAGCGACTATGTTACTCCTGACAGGGGGACACTCCTGTTCTTTTTCAAAAATAGACCATTTTGTAGCTAGGAATGCAAGAATCAGAGCCAGAAAGAGGGCAGAGAAGTGGAAGAATGACTCCATTTTCTTGTAGTTACGACCATTTAGCTGGCAGGAGAAGAGGACCACACCAGTCTCTGCTTCCCAGGTTGTTTTTTTTGGTCAGTATCTGCTTCATGTGAATTACATAAACAGTCCAGGAGCAGACACCAGAATCCTAACCCTTCCAAACGAATGTTCTAGATAAGTCAATGACATTTCGACTGTTTTCCCGAGACCACACTACAGAAAAGAAATAAAAGATAGCATAGAGAAAAAAGAAAAAAAGTTGATCAGTTTCTACCAAAGCAAACATAATGCTCTGAACCAGTACTTGCTACCTTTTAAACCTGCAACACTGCCATAATTCTCCAGCTCTGATGTGTTTAGCCCAGCCTAATAACGGAGCTGCTGAGAAGCTAAGCGTATATTCTCCTACTTCTGTTGTTAATTTTCAGTGTCCAGCAACTACTTTCAGTGGCCTTTGAGCAACTCACTACTACATACTACTATCACTCTAGAGGGACATTTCAGAAGATCTGATGCAAGAAAGCAGCACAGTTAACAAACATAATATATTGTAATCAATTGCATGGTTATATGCTGCATAATAGAAAAGAGGTCTAGGTACGATTGAGCAAAGAAGAGAGAAGAAATAACTCCGCTGGAGTTTGAGAGCCACAGAAAGACACAAGAATTCCTTCCTCAAACTTCCTTCTACGCAGCCCTGCTCCCTATATTCTGATGCTGCCTAAAATGCACAAGTGAGTTTGCTCTTGCAGTTAAGCAAGGGTTCAAGCTTGGAAAATCTCAGGCTCTAATCTCAAAAGCATTTAAAGTATGTTATCACACATTTTATATAATGTGATGTCTACTTTGAAAAGTTCAAACAAACAAACAAATCTGTTTTCTCCCTTGAAGAGGTAACCGGTATTTATATAGCTTGATTTATTACCTTTAACCAAGGATGATTCAGTGCTTCATATACTGTTATCCTTTCTGCTGGATCTAGCATAAGCATGCGGCGTACCAGATCTTTGGCACTTTCAGAGATATGGCTCCACTGTCTAGGATTCATCTGATTACAAGCAAGAAAAAGAAATTAAATTAGCAGTAAGAGTACAAAACAGCTCTTCTTTATGAAAGGCAGTCACAGAGACTGACAGTGGTTGGTAGCTGCCAATATCTTATCATAATAAATGCAAAAAGTTTGTAAGTTTTAAAGTAACTTACAAAGCTGCACATTAATTGCTAATGAAACTGCATAAAAAGATCTGAAGACAGTGAGCATTATATCACATAACAGCTGAATTGTATCCTTGCTATTGTGATATAATCACAGTATAACACTATCTAACACTTTCCATGTTACATTTTGTGCAGATAAAACTGACCTTTCACCATGAAAATCAAAAATAGTTAGGCTTTGTCTGGCAGTCAAATATGCATATGATAAATATAGAAATTAAATCTACTCCAGAAATCAATATAAGGAAAGACAATAGTCTATCGGTATAATGCCACAACTTCATGCCACTGATTCTGAGTATGAAGGGAGTTGGTTAATGTTTCTTGTGAACTACTTCAGTCCTGTCCCATTGACACCGTGGACAACGCCTCTCCTCAGAAAATTCCTTTCAACTTTACAACAGTTAAGAAGCAATGCAGCATCTTCCAGTCAGTCAGAGAGGATACCGTACTGATAGGTGATCAACAATACAAGAAATTGTGCACGTCATACTTTTTAGAGTAGAACTGTATCCTTAGGAAGCAATGACAAGAAGGATGATTTAGAATATATTTTCATGTTTTGCATATATGCAGGTTTGTGTCCAACTACTCAGGAGGATGGATAATCAATAAATTCATACTAAACTAAGAAAATTGTTTCTGTAGTAAAGGATTCTATCCTTAAGCTATTTCTAATATGTAACTTATGAAGAGCTTAAGTTTTATTTAGACGATACTTTGCTAATTTTATGAGATACTAAATGAAAATTCAAAATTATAACCAGACTTTTTGCAATATTATACACTGTTCATTTAAAGGAGCTTATTTTATTTATAACCAATCTTTAACAAAAATTATCCCTTTAGATTGGAGCACTCAGGAACACTTATCCAGCTATGAAACGGACATTTACAGTTGTCCTTTGTCGTTTTTTTCCAGCTATAATGAAATGAAGGTAATGGCAAGTTTATAACACGACTATTTTGAAATCCTTAACTATTTTCACTGAATAGACATATTATTGTGGAAACGGGAACACAAAAGGAACTGAGAAGACACAATGTGCTGGCCATGACTTTTTTTTTTTTTTTTAAAGAAAGAAAAATTAACTTCTAAGCTTCCAGAAGGTTTTTGTGGTTTGAGAGACTCCATACAGGAGTCTTCCGTAAAATGAAACTGGAACATCTAACAGTCTATGAAATCAAAAAACTAGTGCCTTGAAGAAATCCTGCTGTTCCTATGAATATGAAATGTAAAGAGTTAAAAAACATACTCTGTGGTGTCACAGCTGTCACTTATGTTTTAGTAGACCACTGTTAATACATATAAAAAAAAAGTACTTCATATAACACCTTATAGATTATCAGAGAGTTTTAATAGTTTCCACTCTTACTCTGCTAATACACAGAACGTGTATGATCTTTGGTGCAAAAGATTGCGAAACAGTATGATCTTAGACAAAGCAGCAAAAATAGCAAAGTTAAAGCTTTAAATTTGTCTCCATAGTGGCTGCAGGATGCCTATCTCAAGGAACATGCTTATCTTGCATGCAGAGCGGTTTGCTTTCAGTTGCAAGTAGCTCCTTCTGAATAAGCACTTGTACTTTACTACATGCAGTACTAAAAAGAAAAATGCCTAACCACATTTTTACAGTAACAGGCATTTTACTTTAAATCAAGGAATATGATTGATCATTTTTTCTGATAGCTCCTTTATTTGGTTAAAAAAATTAAACGATCTATAAAAACAGAAGACACACATAGATTCCTATACTTTACAGCTATATCTTATGTAAACTTGCTGAGCACAATGTACAATCGGGGCTAATTGTTGCACTCCCTTATTTCATCTGAGTAAATAAATTTGCCTTCTGAATGCTACCATTGATATGAAACACAATATGAACAAAATGGATTGCAGAGATAAAATCGTCTCTTTCTGAGTAACACAGACAGCTTTCTATAAGGCTCCAGTTTAAATCAAGCTAAATACAGAAATCAACTTCCAGAAGTTTTAACAGCAGAGTTCATCTTACTGGAAAAGAACCCAGGCATACTGTCATTTACCTTGTATTTTCCTTTAATAATGCCTTCAAATAATCTTTCCTTGGTTCCATAAAAAGGTAAACAACCGCTTAGCAGGATAAAAAGGATCACTCCACAACCCCAAACATCTACAGGCTTCCCATAAGGTTCTCTTTTTACCACTTCTGGGGCCATAAAATGAGGTGTTCCTACACGTCCTAAACAGAAATAAAAACAAAATTGAGTCAAAGTGATGTGTGTCAAACATGGAAATAAAAAAGAATAGCACTGCATTAAACTAAAACAATTTTAATAAGTTTTATTTGCAGATTGAACTTTCAAAACTCTTTTTTCCTCCAGTTCAGTATTTATCAAATGTATCCAGTTAGACTAATCACTAGTTTTTCTTTTGCTTCCTTTATATTTTTATATATTGAGTACTATTCTATCCTATCCCTGAAATACATGAAACAGCATTCATTTGAAAGCACTAAGATTCTTCAGGGGAACTTTCTATACAAACATAAAAATATCAACTTGAACAGCCTTGGAAACAGGAATTATTTATCCAGAGAACCTGTACAAACATATTGTCTACACTGCTCATTTGAAAAGGCTGCTTCTAGTAGGTGAGAGCAAAGTTGGTCTGCTGACCTGCTGAAACCTTAGCTGATCTACTGAAATTGTCAACAGGATGCAAAATGCTAGCAAAGACGTTGTTTATTTTCTTGCAGTAGATAGTATATTCCAGTAGACAGAAAGATAATGCTGATGTGCCTCACATGGTGTATTTAATGGTTGCTATGTAGTAGTGGTTCTGGGACATTACTAATTTTGGCTTGGTAATGAATGTGCACCCAAGGAAATCAAACATATTTAGTACCAACTAATCTTTTGAATGGATAAATTTATTTGGAAGATGTCATTCAAACACTATGTAACACATTAAGCCAAATAAAAGCAACAAACATTTCTCTCTCTTTCTATAAATAGTATCCCATACTGAACAGGTTTCCACTGCAGAGGATTTACAAAGGAACAAGAATTAAGTTTTGAAAGACCAGCACATCACTTTTGCATATGAACTATGTAGTCTTTGGGCTACAGTGGTTCTTTTAGGTACAGGGAGAAGAAGAAAAAAAAATCACAACTCTAACAAACTGTTACCACTTGCATCAATCAGCTTCACAGACTATTCTTGCTCACTGATACTATAGCGGACTTTAGAGGCTCCACTCCAGGCTTGCAGCACCATTCTGATGGCTAGGACAGTTTACAACGCAGCCTAGAGAATCGAAGGTGTTAGCATAACATTTACTTAACTCAGTGCTGTCTTGCAAAGAGACTCTTGCTAGACTAGCCTATCCCGCACAACACGTGAATGTGAGTTATCTAAGCGACAACTTGAGTAAGCAACGTGTGGGAGACTATCTGGCTTTTTTTTTACTAGTCCCCACTCCTTTCTTAATCTAGGATGATTAAGAAATCGACAGAAAGACAGTAGCTTTTTCAATATACTATTCTTAAGGACAAACAATACCGTTGTCCAACTCCAGGCTACTCTGTGCTAAACCTTTTCCATTTTCGGTTTATGAGGCAATCACTCTTTGTCAAAACAGGGCTAGGAATCTGCCTGTGACAGAGGAATACCTTGCCACTAAGTTAGACTGGTAAATTAAGAAGTCCATGCAGTCTAGGCTGATATGATATGGAAAGAGTAATTCCTTTGCAGGCTAAAAAAGGAAAGTAACAAGAAGTTGCATGTTCAGCTCACCCCTCATACCAATGTGGAAAAAGGAGGGATATTTACACTTGGTAGAGGAAGACATCTGAACATAGCAGAAGATTAATAGTTCCTCGTTAGTTATACACAGTTGATAGGCTTGTGCAATACCTTTCTGTCTAAATGATAAACCACAAAGCCAACTCTTCAAGCTCACAGATATGAGAATGAGAATTATATCCCCAGAGGACCCGAAGTCTCTCCCTTTTGGATGCTTGGGGATGGGGAAGGGAAGGAAAAGGGGGAGCACATATATTGACTATGCATAAGAAGTTGCTGAGAACTCATGTGCTTATATATCTCTATCTGTAAGGGTTTCCTAACTATTTTTCCTAAGGTGCCATTACTGGTGACAGCTGAGGCATCAACATTTCCAGCTCTGTTCCAGGGCTATACACGTACCCAAGATGCAACACCCACCTACTCAAACAATATTTGCACATCACTTAAAAACTGCTCATGTGACATTAGTGGAATGCATTCCACCATTTGGAAATCTTTGATATAGAAGACATCATGCAAAGCACCAAAGCAGCATGGATTAACTGAATTTTGTTTACTTCAGTGGTAAATTTACTGGCATGTGGGTGCAGAGATCCCCATTTGCAATCTCAGAAGAGGTGTAACCTTTCTTATACATTGAAAAAAACCTTAGTGTAATAAGATCCTGTTTAAATCTTATGCATCACTATGGAAAGAAATGGAAGCACACAGATTCTCTGAAGAGTCTGCTTTACTATAAGACTTTCTAATTGCTGTTATGAAATCTAGGAAGTCAACAGAAATAGAGATTACTCAAAAGACACAGCAGAAATCACTAGAAGACAAGATATTACAACAACAAACAGTCATTTAAAAAGCATTAAACTTTGCGGACATACACAGTTATGTGGATCAAGTAGCTAATGAAACTAAGAAACATATGTACTAAATCATATCCAAATTGATGCAATGTGTATTTATAATATATATAATGCGCCACTCCTCTCACAGTTTGGGCTGCTTTATGGTATAAGTGCACAACTGTGGCAGAGAGGAACATGTTTTAAAAATGACCATGTATTGCAAGGGAAATGTGCTGAACTTTTTCATTTTCTGCACTGATGCATTTATGTCTGCTGAGTATTTGTACCACACCGAAGGCCTACCTATAGAACATCTACGGAAAACATCTCGTAAGCAGCTATCGATGGCATACTTTCTCTGTGTTGTATAATAGCAACATAAGCAATGTAATAGCATTACATGGATATGCTGTTAACATACCTAATACTGAATAAATAGAAAAAAAGGTGAACCATTTCAGTTTTCAGTATGAACTGTTCCCTTACATGATTTAATCATGGGTTGTATAAAATAAGCAATCTACAGTGTTAAGAGAGTATCAAAAGTACAGGGTGTTTTTTTTGCTTCCTTTTCCCCTTCAGAAAATGTTTCAATTTAAAAACGAAGTTGGCAAAAATCAGTGAACAAGAAAAATCCTTATTCTTATGTGGTCATAAATATATGCAGAAGAAAATAATGAGTTGAAACTGAGCACTAATCAGCTTCTCTAAATTTTGAAAGGAAGTGTCTTGATGGTGGACAACAATTTCTAGATGTCCTCTCCCCTCTCTGCTTCTCTTCCTGACCACAGGGCTAGGAAATACAAAAATGGTTACAAAGCTAGTGCATATCAACAAAAAGCAAACATAACTTGCATCAGTGAGCTTATCAAAATTGCAGACAAAACATAACATGCAAGACTTTTTTTACGCAGTACACATCCATTTTGTCAGCACTGTGTCCATTATCAACGACCCTCACCATATTACCATTTTTCTCTCCACATACACATTTTTGTTTGTTTTTTATAAACAGAACAAGAGAAGCTCAACAGCTTCTTAAAGCTTAGCTCCTACTTGCTCTGTATGACCTTGGGAAAACTATAGTCTCTTGATATCTCAAGGTTCCTCACTTACTTTATCTGGAGACAGTTCAGTATATCACTGGAATGTGAGGTTGCATACTACTTGAGCACTCAAGTTCTCTTACAGACAAACTCTGACAGACTTAAAAGTTATGATTAAAAAACACTGTCCCTCTCTGACTTGCCTAAATGCTCTTTCTCCTTCCTAGGAACATATAGCCTTATAGGACAGGTCAAAAAGAACAGGATCTTTGCAGTCTTGATTCAAAAGCAACTTACCATAGACAAATGCACCTTAACAAACTGCTTAATGTTAAGCAGAAGGACTAGATTTAGTTAATAGGTCACATCTTATACAGCTGTGTAAGACCCCTCAACAGACCCCTGCTACAACTGGATGTTACTTAATAGCATGATGACAAATCAGTACTGCTAAACCTTAATATTTACTTTTAAATTTAAAATAAGAAGTAAAGAAACTCAAATCAAAAACTCACAGAGAAGGCTACACTAATCTAATATAACCCAGCCATTTACCACTGTTTGCAAGCTAATTAATCAGGAGGGAATGTTTAAAAGAAAGGCTGCAATACAAATTACAAAATTATTTGGTTCTGTAACCTTTTTTGTGCAGATTTCAAGATCTTGATACTTTAGACACGGAAGCAGAGTGCAATTTCACCCCCACAAAAGAGTAAACCCAGAACAAACAGCAACTTGATTGGTTGAGATCTGCACTGTCCATTTGGACAGGAATAAATATACCTATATACTATAAGCTCTATTAAAAAGGCCAAAATCATTTCTGGGACTGCTGGCATCTTCCTCATGACGACTAACTACTTCACTGTGTTCATCACAGGAGCAAATGACACTTTTGAGGCTATTCTAAAAACTGAAGTCCAAGCAAGGACTACTGCAAAAGGAACAGAGTGCACCCATGAACTTACATATAGATATGGATTTTTCCTATGTTACAGCTACAAGAACCGTAAGGCGTAAGTCATTAACAGAATAAAGGAAATCTATATGCCACAAAGTTTGCTGAAGTCATGGATAGTGGTTGCTCTTTAGACAAAGTAGCACTTTTGCTTATGTTCTATTATAGTTTTTGGCAAAATGTTTCAGTTTCTTTACCAGCAGCATTTTACCTGTTGCCTAAATGTTTAATAATTTTTGAAAAAGTAGGCTGATTGTCTATTAGACAAGTTCAGATTTTAAACATGTCCACAGTATAACATTTTAAAATATATATTCTTCACAAGAGTTCAATTATCTTTAAATGTTTTAGAAGCTTTTGAATTTTCTTTGGTGTTTTGGCAGAATCTTTGCATCTTTTTGGAGATAAGATGAGACAGAAGAGTGAGCAGAGGCATTTTTCTCTCTCTGAAAAGACACCTCCTGCCTTCTGCAGGTCCTGTACTCTTTAGGATATAAGAACACTGAGGGATATATTCTAATGACTGACCATGACGAATAGGATATATACATATCTTTTACATAAATACTGGATGCATGCACACAAA